ATTTGAGTCCTTTGTGACTGGCCCTGTGTTTACTTTCTACATAACCTGTGTGGTGCCTGAGTTCCCCTATTGTCTTACCACCTATTTGGTTAGTGCACTTTGTGTGGCACTCGCTAATGGAGGCTTCATTTTGCTTGACAGCAAGGTTGGTATTCTTGTCCACACACACATCTATGCTACATGCACTGGTAGCCCTATAATTTTTAGATTGCCGGGGACAGGGTTGTTCTGTATCAATTAACTCACTGTCCCCGCTATTTAGTTTAAATTTTCCTCCAGAAAATCTGTGAATTTATAGCCGAGTAACTCAGTCCCTTTCTTTGATGGATGCAAACCATCTCTTTTGTACATCTTTTCATTGGACCAGCTACAGACATCGTGACTAATATATCCAAAGCCTTCCCCTTTACACCACTCCTTTAGCCATATATTGAATTGTGTATGCCCTGGCCTTTTCCCTTTTGCTCCTTATACACTGGTAAAACCTCTGAGAAAGTAAGCCTACAGCCTATTCTGCTATGTTCCTTCCCCAAGTTCTGGAAATCGTTTATGTCAGCATGTTTAGCCTACCCTGTCTTATACGATGGTACCACAGAATACAATGGGCAAAGCTTCCCAAGAGACTTCAGCCATTTTCTGGCTTACTGACATGTGGTACTTTGATTGTCTTTTTAAAACCAATATAGTTACTGTATAACTTCATAGGAATGTTTCTTCCTTGATATTTTTGGTATATCAAACTGGAAGTACACTGAGTTTCTTCTTTTTCTTCTAGCCATAAATTTCTTTGTATACCTCACATATAAGCAGCAACTATACCTATTTTTTCTATACTTATGCATCAATTCCTGCAGACTATACAACAGTTGTCACAATTTAACCACTAATTTCCCAAAGGTTCCAGCACAGTGTGAATATGGAAAAATATTTAGAAATCATTTGCTCTGAAGGCAAATGATTTCCAATTAACATTTTCACACGTTTAAGTATTTCCCTCAATTTTATACTTCATGCTGAAGGGATCTTATTGTGATGATTTTATTATGCTTAAGCTTGATATTAGTAGTGTTATTTTGTAGCTATTTTATATAAATTTTTATATGCAAGCAGCTTTATAGATAGAAGCAAGTGTTTTATGTATATTGAAAAAGTAAATGTTTCATGCTAAATATACAGGAGATTGCTTACATGAAAGGAGCAAGGTAAGATTCAGTGGTCCAGGAAATAAGGAGGGGGAAAGTGAGTTAGCCTGGATTTATGTGTATGAGTCATCACCTTGGAATTTGTTTTTCTGTGTTTCCTTGCTCCTGGTACAGAGACTTGAATCTCTTTGTTCTGAAAAGGTATAAAAAGTGGAAGAAATCTCTTCTGGGTGTGCCTTCATCCCTCTAAGCAGCTGTGAAGAGGGAAAAGGTTACCCAGCTCTGTCTTGGCCAAAATAAAGTTGTTTCCTTTGCTGAAACCTCGGCTCAGGAATTTCTTTGGCTCTTCAAAATTCCTAAGTAGCCCAGAGGAGTTTGTGAGGCTAGGTGGAAAACCTTACAACCTGGCGACCAAGCATGGGGCTTGCTCAAAAGGGCGGAAGCCACAAAGGCCCCCACATCCGGAGACTCTTATTAAGGTCCCAGAGAGCCTTCGATTCTCGCCAGGACGAAACCAACGGTGACTGAAGCATGAGTCTTAGAGCGCTCCTAGGTGTTTGCCCTGGAAGACTTCTGCGCTTTGTTGGCGGCGGTAGGATCCGTGTCCGAGGAACCTGAACACCCAAATTCAATGAGGTTTCATGTTTCTCCACTGACGGGAGAAATTACAACAGG